CCCCCCCCCCCCCACGCCACACGCCCCGTGCCATACCATGCCGCGTTCTCCCCTCCCTCTCGCGTGCCTGTCCGACCGAATGGCGGGGCCTGGGTCTTGTCCCCTGCAGAAGAAGGAGATCACCCCGGAGCTGCAGGATCTCCTGAACAAGATCGTGCCGACCGTCATCGAGATGCTGGTGGCCGATGTGGATCCGTGCGTTTGGCGAGGGCCGACTGCTGGCTGGCTTTTTTGGCCGACCCTTTTCTTTTCTCCTCTCTCACACCGGATCTCGCATCCGCCGCGCGTCCCTCCCCTACCCCCCCTCCCCCTGCCTCCCCGTTCCCAGTGAGGTCTCTCGCGAGTGTATCTCCATCATCAGCGAGATGCTGCGCCATGTTGGCCCCTGCCTGCTGACCGAGGAGTGTGCGTCTCCCTCCTCGCGGCTGGCCCCTCTCTGTCTGTTCCCCTGCGCGCATGCGCACGCACAGGCGGCCTGCTAACCCTGTTTTGTGCCCAGCCTTCTCCGAGATCTCCACCATCCTGGTGATGATCTTCAGCGGCCAGCTTCCCTGCCAGATGGACGATGATGATGACGACGACGAGGAGGAGGACAAGAGCCACGACGGTGGCGATGCCGACATGTCCGAGTTCGAGCTCATGATCCTCGAGTCCGGTGCCGATCTGGCTGGCTCGCTGGCGCTCACCTACCCGGCGCATTTCGGTCCTGTCCTGCAGAAGGCCTACCCCCACCTCATCAAGTTCGGCGTGCGTCGGCATCCCCTTTCTCTCTCTCTCTCTCTCTCTCTCTCTCTCTCTTTCTCTCTTTCTCTCCGAGCGTCTCCCCCTTCCCTGTATGCACGTGCTTTCTGACACCCGCCCCGCCCCGCTGCCGCCGTCTCGTCCCCTCTCGCACAGTCCCCCAAGAGCACCGACCACCTCCGGTCCATGGTTGTTGGCTGCCTGGCCGAGGTTGCTGAGGGCATGATCCACCCCCATCTGGCCCCCTTCGCCGAGAGCATGGCCACCGGCTTCATGAGTGCCTTCAGCGACAAGGAGCCCGAGGTCCGCCGCAATGCCGCTTACGGCCTGGGCTGCACCTACTTCAATGCCCCGGACAGCCTGCAGGCGTACGTGCTGCTTCCAACTTCGCTTTCTGCCCGCGTGCTTCTTGATTTCCCCTTTTCCTTTGAACGGGGCGCGGCCTTCGCTTCGCCCCGGGCCATTCCTCTCTTAGTCCACCGTGTCATGCCCATCGCCCTACGCACGCACACGCACACGCACACACACACGCACACACACACGCACTTGAACCTGACGCATGCGCGCCTCCCTTTCACCCATTCACTGCACACAGTCACGCCCAGTCGATCCTCATCAGCCTGAACAAGCTCAGCCACGACAAGAGCGCCGAGGTCAAGGACCATGCGGTTGGCGCCGTGGCCCGCATGATTCTTGCCACTCCCGAGGCTGTTCCGCTGGAGTCGGTACGTGACCAGTCCCATGTCTGTCCGTTTGTCCCTCTCCTGCCCCCCCACTAACACCCTTCCCCTTTTCACGCACGCGCACACAGATCGTCCCCACCATTCTCAAGAACCACATCCCCCTGAACCAGGTCGACGATGAGGGGGATGTCATCTTCAACTGCCTGACCCGCGTGCTGGCCCTCCGCCCGGATATCATCAACGTGGCCCAGGACGATGCGCTGGCCCTGCACCTGGTGTCCAACACCGCTGCCATGCTGTCCGTGTCGGACATCCGCACCCCGGTCATCGAGGCTGGCAAGGGCTTCCTGAAGGCCGTGGCCGAGGCCATGGGCCTGGACAAGTTCAAGCAGCTGGCCGCCACCCTGGACGCCGGCAAGCAGGCCCTCCTCGGCCAGCTTCTCTTCAACTAAGCAGTGGGCTTCCTCTCGACCACCGCGCCTTCCCTGAGGAGGCGCCACAACAACCGTCAAGAGGAGGAGTGCGCGGGGCCGGGGCCCGGGGCCCGGGGGAGGCCTCGCACGGTGTGCTACCCTGTGTGCCGCTCGCTCTCCCCCTCTCCCCTGGCGTTCTCCCGCCTCTCCTCATCTCGCCTCTTTCCTCCGCCATGTGCATCACCCCCCTCCCCCCCGTGTGCACACATAGATCCCCTTTTCCCTTCACACGTCCACATGTGCGCGTCCCCCCCTCTTTCTCCCCTTCTCGCCCCTCCAGGAAATATACGCTCCGTGTACGAATGTAAGGACACGCTTGCCGCACGCATGCGCATGTAGTGGCGCATGAAAGCATGCATGCCAAGACTCCCCCCTTCCGGGCCCCGCCACAGACACAGTACTTTGGCCACCGAGGACAGCAGCAAAGAAGATGCCGGGGCGGGATGTGTCCGGCCGCAGGGGGAGATGGCCTGCTTGTTGGTGGAGCAAATGCGTGCATCTTCAAACCGGGCACGCGCTCTCCGTGCGCGTTGTGCCCTGGTGCCGATCATCTCTCTCTCTCTCTCTCTCTCTCTCTCTCTCTCTCTCTCTCTCTCTCTCTCTGGCCGGGGTGGGTGGCTGGATGCGCGGGGTGACCGCGGGCGCCCGCATGATTCGGGCGAGGAACACCATTATCACATGCCAACGAAGAGGACACCCTGACCCTCGGCCGCGTTTGTGAGGGGACCCTCGTGGGGTATTTGCTAATATTGTCAGGGGCGCGCGCGCCGCACCGTCGGGGGGGCCCATCTGTCTGTGCATGCGCATATCTGAGCCATCTTGCTTGTGTGTGGGGGGGGGGAGGGGGGCTGGTCCTTCCCCCGGGCAAGGGACAAGGAAGGGGGTTGCTGGCCGCGGAGCCGGGCACTGGTCAGGCAGCATTTAGCGGCTTACATCGGGCGAGGGGGTGGGCAGGACGGCCCTGCTGGTGTCGGGGCAAAGGGTATGAGCGAGGCGCTTGCTCATCGCCTCTCGTCACGGTCCGGCAGCCGGGAGGGCGAGAAAGAGGGGTGGGGGTGCGGGTGTCCTGGCGCCGCCGGTGCAGGGTTCTCGCGCCTGGGCCCGGCCCCGCCCAGGGTGGCGGCGGGGCATCCACACGGCTGCCTAGCAAAAGGGGGAAGCCGGCCGGCCAAGGAGGAGCCCAAAAACGTGCGGTCTGGGACACACGTCCGCGACGCCGGAGGATGGGCTACCCGGTGTGCCCCCTCGCCCCCCACCCCGAGGGGAACAGCGGGGCCAGGGATGTGTCCAGAGGCATCCTCGTGTCAAGCCCCCCAGTCTCCCCCCCCCCCCCCCCCCGTACGGTGCCCGAGCGACATGCTGGGCGGGAGAACTGGCGCAGACAAGGCCCTCAGGGACGCGTAGGGCGGCGGGGCGAGGGAGAAGGCCGGAGAGGGAAGGGCAGCGCACACCCAAGGGGTGGTACGATGGCCTGCCGCTTTGTGTAGCCGATACAGCAGACTTCCACTCTCGGTTTCTTTCCCCCTCCCGATGTTCGCCTTCTCCTCCTCTCCCTCCATCCCCCTCTCTTTCCCTCAGCCTCCACTCGCCTCCTGTGCCATTTTGCCGTCCCTCTCTCTCGCCCACCTGCTGCCTTTTTCATGCGCCCCTGGTGCACATGTGTGCATTCCACCCGCCGCATCTGGCACGGGCCAGTCCGTGTCGCGCGTGTGGGTGTGTGTGCGCGCGCGCGCGCACGCCATGTCACGGGGTGGCCCGGAGCCCCGGCCAGACATTTCGATGCCCGCACATGGGCGCGCCGCTCCTCCCTCCCCTCTCCCCCCTCCCCCTCGGACCCCCTCGGGATGATCACTCCCCCACTCTCTCCTCCCCCTCCTCCTCCTCCTGCCTCCCTCCTGGCCACCCATTAACGAGACCTGTCTGCTTCCGTGTCCCTCACTCTTTCGACGCCGGTGTCCCGCCAGTTGGTTGATCATCAGGCTCCTTTGTATGTGCTCTGCCTGCTGGCTCCCCCCCCCCCCGCTGCTTCCCACCACGACCACTCCCTTTGCTCCTCCTCTAACTCGTCCGCCACTCGCACGCACCCTCCCTCCCTCCCTCCCAACAGAACCATGTCCGTCCGCCTCGGCCTTCTGGCCCTCTCCGGCCCCGCCCTCTACGCCACCGTCTCCTCTGCCAAGAAGATGGAGAACTCCGATGCCCTGCACGCTCCCCACTACCCGTGGCACTTCAACAAGCCGCTCGGCACCTTCGACCACGCCGCTCTGCGCCGTGGTTTCGAGGTGTACAAGCAGGTGTGCGCCTCCTGCCACGGTCTCTCGCGCGTGGCCTTCCGCAACCTGGTCGGCGTGACCCACACCGCCGCCGAGGCCAAGATGCTGGCCGAGGAGATCGAGTTCCAGGACGGCCCCGATGAGAACGGTGACATGTTCATGCGCCCCGGCAAGGTGCGCCAACTGGGCCCCGGCTTGTCCCTCCTCGCCGCGCCCCCCGCCGCCCTCCCCCTGCTCCTCCTCGCCGCGCCCCTTGTTGCTGACTGCCCTCTCCCCTCCCGTCCGCCCTCCTCCTCGCTCGCTCTGGCACGCGTACATCCGCACGCGCCCGCAGCTCTCCGACTACTTCCCCGAGCCCTACGCCAACGAGAACGCCGCCCGCGCCGCCAACAACGGTGCCTACCCCCCGGACCTGTCTCTCATGACCAAGGCCCGCCACAACGGCAGCGACTACCTCTTCGCCCTGCTGATGGGTTACTGCGAGCCCCCTGGCGGTGTTGAGATCCGCGATGGCCTCCACTACAACCCGTACTTCCCCGGTGGTGCCATCGGTATGGCCCGCCAGCTGTTCGATGACATGATCGAGTACGATGACGGCACCCCCGCCACTTCCAGCCAGATGGCCAAGGATGTCACCGAGTTCCTGTCCTGGGCTGCCGAGCCCGAGATGACTGAGCGCAAGCTCATGGGTCTCCGCGTGCGTGCTCTCAATTGCTCTCGCTCTTTCTCCTCCCCCTCGCGAAGAAGGGGGCGACCCACCGTGCCATGCTGCTGCATCCATATAGCCTGTCTGCCCCTTTGCTGACGCTGGAATCCGGCTCCCCCTGGCCCCTTCGATGCCATGTGCGCCCCACCACGCTGTGCAGGCCATGGTCCTCATGACTTTCGCTGCTGCGGCCACCTGGTACATCAAGCGCCACCGGTGGACCGTCATCAAGAACCGCAAGGTCGTCTACAACCCCATGATGAAGAACTAAGTCCCCTGCGGCCCCGCCCCCCCCCCCTTCTGGCGACCACGGCCCCTCGTCTCCCTGGCTGATGGCCGGTCGGTATGTGAGCGTGAGTGTGCGCGCGTGCGCGAGTGTGCCGCCCTCTGTCTGGGATAGGGACCGCTCTGCTCGCCCTCCCCTGTCTCTCTCCCTCCCTCCCTCTCTCTCTCTTCCGTCGGCGGCGCGCCTCGCCGTTCCTTGCTCCACATGCACCCATCTGCGTGGGTATCCCGGGGATGTCGATGGCCCGCCACATTCACGCAGGGAGAGGAGCAATTCGCCCCCCTCTCACACCCACACCCGCGCGCGCGCGCGCGCGCGTGCGCATGTGCCATGTGTCCCCCCCCTCCCCCGCGCCCCTTCCCCTCCGCTCCCTCCCATGTGCTTGCCCATGGCATGGGGCGTCCCCTGGACGTCGGGTTCGGGAGGCGTCGTGGTGTCACGCGCGCGCGTGTGCTCGTCGCTTTTCAGTCACTTTCTCCCCCCTCCTCTCCAGAACTTGCCGGTGCATATCCCACTACACACTGGCCCTTCTCCCCTCCCCCCCCCCCTGTACACGAGCGGGGGCATGTTCGACGTGGACGAATGTGTGGCGTCGTATACACTGCCCGCGTAGCACCTCGTCCCATCCCCCCCCCCCTCCTTTCCCCCTCCCTGCCGCAAACCCAAATACACCCCTGTTGTGAAGATTGCCCCCTCGCCTCCCTCCCCCTCGCGCGCGCGCGCGCGCCTGTCGCATCTCCCCTTTCGGACGGGCGGGAGGGAGACACCCCTGCCCCATGCTTGCTGTGGCCGTGGCCTCTGGGCGGGTGAAAAAGGGCGAAAGGTGGCTCTCTGTTGCGGCACTTTATTTGTCCTTCTCAGTTCATGCTAGGAGGTGCATGACCCGGATGATGTCAGCCAGGTCTGCGGCCAGGGGCTGGAGCTCCGGCGGCAAATCCTGCTCCTCTGGGTCGGCGCAGAACCCGGGTGCCGGCGCTTCGACCGGCGGGACGGACCCATCCGCTCGAAGGATGCGCTCCAGCAGGGCCGCATCCGGCACCAGCGGCGTGAGACGAAGGCCGGGACGCGCATCCGCCCCGCCGCTGGCCGGCCGGGAGCCCGGCTGCAGGAAGACCGGCGTCACGGGGCGCCCATCGCGAGGCGCTGTCGCCGTCGGCCGAGCCTCGCTCCGCTGCTTCAGTGTCTCGGGCATCGCTGCGTGAGAGTAGGCGGGGAGAAGAAGGGGCAGGCAAAGAGTACGCCGTCAGTCATCAAGACGCGCCGGCACATGCATACCCGCCGGGCACCCGGGGCCGGGCGAGATGCCTCCGGCAGAAGACGCACCGGTGTCCAGGCCTGGCGCAGGCTGTGCGAGGGCAGCCGCCGGGCCGGCATTCTCCTTGCTCAAGGACCGCCCGGGGGCGGGAACAGGGGCGAGAAAGGAATCCATGACGCCAGGGGGGAGGGGCGGAGGGCGAGAGCAGAGAGGGCGAGCAAGAGGAAGAGGGCGCTTGCGGGTGTTCCCCCTGCCGGCAGCAGCGACGGGCTCGCGGGCGATATTTTTTATTGTTGTTGTTTTTTTTTCCCTGTTTATTGGCCGCCCCTCTCCCCATCCAAAGCCCCCGCGCCGTAGAACCAGCACCTCCCCAGTGTCTGTCTGGGGGGCGAGGCCGGGGGGGGGGGG